TTATTAAATAATTGTCCCCTCCCTGTTGATTTGAAATGCCATTCTATGTATACACCTGCATGCATACATACATACATACACTTACATACAAGTCTTCTGTTGATTTGTTGATTTTCATGAGTACTGTATCTTTATAGCAGTTAGCAAACTACAGCCCACAGTCTGGCCTACTACCAGGAAAAGGTCTTTTTGAAGGGGGAAGGGGAAGTTGACTTTTGGGCCACACTTGGCGATGCTCAGGGATTCCTCCTGGCTCTGCACTCAGAGACCAATCCTAACAGGCTCGGGGAACCATATGTGGTGCCAGGGTTCAAACCTGGATCAACTATATGCAGAGTAAGCACTCTGCCTGCTGTATTAGCTCCAAGAAAAGTTTTTATGATACTTTTTGGGGTTTGTTACAGCAAGGCATGTATCACCAAGTCCCACCCCAAGCCCCTGTAAGTAAAGTTTCATGGGAACATAGCCACATGCATCTGTTTGTTCTGTTTATGGCTGTTTCTGAACTGCAGTGGCAGAGTAGTTGCAGGGATCGAATGGCCCACAAAGCCTAAAATATTTACAGTCTGGCTTTCTCCAGACCGTTGACCCACCTTCGCTTTTTATACTGTGTATACCGAGTATATCTGATAGGGCAAGTTCTTCCTCATTCTTTTTCAATAATTCCTTGGCAAGTGGAGTATGTTTGTTCTTTCAGATGAACTCAGAATCCGTGGACCAACTTCGCTTGACTCCTTTGCCCTGCCTCTGTTTCTGTGGTGAGAATCTGGGAGGCAGAAAAATGTGAATTTGGTCTATTTGTAGTTTAGCAAATAAAAGATGTGATTACCATACTGAGTCTTTCCACTAACTACCCTTTTTCTTTTAGTAAACTTTTCTTGTGTCACTTGTACGTGATATACTTATTTCCGCAAGTATATTTACTTTTGTTGCTATTACAGTTGAGTTCATCTTCCCCAGATATGTGTTTTGAGTGATTCTTTATAGTCTAAAGGAAATGATTTTTATTCAGATTGCTTCTAATCCTCTTCTGGAAGTAAACTATTAGGTGTGTTAAATTTTAAATTTGATTGTTGGAGTTGATGGTCATTGTCTCAATGTTGTCAATTGTTTCACCAACATTTAGGTCTTGTGTTTGTCTTGTGGTACTCTGTAGAATAGTTTGGGGACGTGGACTTTGAACTCCTTGGTGACAGTTTCTTCTTTCACATTAAGTCGCAGCAAATAATAATTACCAAAAACCAACCAACCATCCCAATCACTCACACACACATACACACAACCCCAGGAGGCTTTATGCCCTGTGAATGTTCGTTAATATTTTTTTTCTGTTTTTGTTTTGTTTGGAAGCCACACCTGGCAATGCTCAGGGATTACTCCTGGCTCTGCACTCAGGAATCACTGTCACACTAAGGGGACCATATGGGATGTCAGGAATCGAACCCAGGTTGGCCAAGGGCAAGGCAAATGCCCTACCTGCTGCACTGTCGCTCAACACTCAATAGTAAGAGTCTCCTGAAGACCATTCAGATTGATCAGATAGACCATTTGTTGTGTGTCTGTTGGAGGGTTTTTGTGTCACACAGGAGAGACAGACCCGGCTGCCACTTTACTGAGGAAAGCATTTGATTGTGGAATAATGTTGACTTAACCTTGTCTTTATTCTTTGGCACTGAAACATGAACAGAAGGAAGGTTTTTATGAATCAGTTATTCCTTTCCTGAGTCTGTTCTCTGTTTTTAAAAAAAAAAAGCATTAGCTCTTTACCCTTAACATCTATTCCTTAAGGATGTGAAATCCATTTTGGATTTCAAGGTCTATCTATTACTTGCCCTGAGCGGTGAGCAAGTGAACCATAAATTCGGTATGTGTTAACCTTTGTGGATTTATCTTTTAATGCCATTTGGTCTTTTCCCCCTGAATTTTTGTCTCCTCTTAGTTTCTCACCCTGGTGAAATGAAAGAATTAATTTGCTTTGCTTTTTTTTTTTTTTTAAATATTTTTGTGTGTTAAGTAGAGAACTGCCGGCACGTGTGAGCACTGTGGAGTGAGCCTTGTTGGTGCATTGTAGTGTGAAAATTCTTCTATAAAGCCTGGTCTCACATGCACCCATATATGTGCTCCACTGTGGGGAGATCACCTCTGGCCGTCATTCTGAACACCCCCTTGGCGGTGCCCAAGCAGGGTGTCTGAGCAGAGCAATGCCCTCACAGACTGGAAGGTTCTGTCAGGGCCAGAAGGCTCCGTTGCAGGGGTAACCTTTGTGGGCCTTGCAGGTGGGGCCTGACGGGGGCCTGCGGAGAGAGTGTCAGGAGGGGCGGGTCGTGCAGAAGGATCTAGGCTGGTATAGGGATGATGGCGTCTTGTTCAATGCCTGTGAGGGCCCAGGCGCTGTCATTTCATTTTGCAGTTGAGGACGTGGAGATTTAGATGGAGGTTAAACAACTGAGGGCTCACACCAGCGGCCAGGCTACAGGAGAAGGTGGAAACATGGTGTTCGGGCAGCCCTGGTGTGTGAAGAAAAGTAGTTGGAAATGTTGCGGTTCTCTTAGGGGAACTTTGAAGGTGTCTCAGGACTGTGGGAAATGCACAGCTTGGGGAGTAGGGCGTCCTCGATTGCCTAATGGACCTTAGCAAGGCCTTCTCTCGAGAGTCTCTCCTCTCTGACCTTAGAGAGGAAGAGAGGCGAGATCTTTATATTTTTACATTTTGGGGGGCTTTTTATTGGGGGGTTGCTTTAGTGCCACAGATGCTTATCACTCAAGATAGTGATAGACTTCCTATTTTCAAATTGAGAGAGTATAAAAGGGGGGTTGGGAAGTGGCCTGCTGAGTAGAATGTGGGGGAGTGGGGAGGGGGCGGGGAACGCTCAGGTTCTCTAGTCTCTTCCAGCTTTAGACAACCCTACAACCATGGTCGCTAACTAGAAACATAAGTAACCTCTGTCTCTGTCCTTCTCTCTCTGTCTCTGTGTGTGTCTCTCTTTGTCCCTCTCTGTGTCTCTGTCTCTGTCTCGCTCTCTCCCCCCCCTCGCCCCCAGTACAGCCCAGATACTTGACCCTTTTGTGTATGTTTACACTAAGATGGAAAACCAAGATTCTCTGCCACATTGTGTCACTGTTTACATTGCTAAACTGTCCAGATGCCACACACTCTTGAGCCCATATAGAGCCACAGAGAAAAAGAGAAAGGTCTTTACATCTTTCTAAATACTGGCAGGAAGCCTCTCCGGTTCTCTCTCCAGTGCGGGCCCTGATCCTGGGGCCAGCCCCGGGACCCTCAACTGTGGTGGGGGCCCTTGGTTGCTGCTGCGGGTGCCAGACCCGCGTCCCTCCGCGGGTGCCCCGTGACCTGCTGCTCCTGACCACCGCGGCTTGCCAGGGTCTGTGGCTCCACTGCCCGCAGGTTCCTTCGCCTGGCAGGCGATCTCAAGCAGATTCCTGGCACGGCTGTGAGAAGAAGAGAAAGCTTTCTAAATACTGGCAGGGAAGTGGGTTTGCTTTCCAGATTCAGAGTGGCAGCCCGGCACTGACAACTTGCATTGTATTCTCTGCTCTGTGCGTTGGCTCCGTGTCCCAAATAAAAGATTGCAGTGCAGGGAGGGGTTTTCTTTCATCAGAATGATTGGACTTGGACAGTTACAGTGTTTTTTTTGAAACAACTTTCAGATTAACCCTTTCTAAACTTTATAATGCTAGAGAAAAGGAAGGAATAAAAATTCTTAGTTCTTTTCCTCGCTTTTTTTTTTTTTTACCACATCCATTCGGCTCTGTTCAGGGATCATTCCTCGTTGGGCTCCTGAGATCTATGTGTGGTGCTCGGGAATCAGACCTGGGTCATCTGCATGCAGGGCAAGTGCCTTTCCAGCTGTACCTATCTGGGCCAGAAAATCTTACTACTTTATTTAAAAAAAATAAATACTTGGTGCATATTCAAATATGAGTTATCCAGACTTTTTGTATCTGCATTGTCTAAAAGGTACGCAGACATGCTTCATCAGTTTCTTTTTAAAAGAGACCGAACAACTTAACTAGTTTTGTTCATTTATTACAGTTTTGATTCTAATCTGGAATGCCTTAATTTTGTGTGTAGGGTTTAGTGTGTGTTGAGAAATGATTAGAAATGATGGGTGGATGTATTTTTTGATTTGGACACTTTTCTTTATGTCTGTAATGTCTGCACCTGTGTTTCTGGGTCTATGCTCACTTTTAATATCACATCACAGGAAGAGTGGTCTCTAGGAGCTGGCAGGGTAGTTCTTTGGGGCGTTTGTGTTTGTGTTTGTGTTTGTGTGTGTGTGTATGTGTGTGTGTGATGCGAGAGAGAGCCTAGATCCTGTTGCTCCCACGGTTGCTAAGGGGACAACAAAGTATAAGAAATGACATTTGGTTGAGAGACTTATGTCACTTACTTGCCTGAAGCTTGATACCCTTATTAGTAATGAAAGAGAAAGGGAAAGTGAAGACAGTTCATTTGACAGCTATCTTCTGTTTGTATGATTTGTTTAAATTTGCTAGATTTTTTTTTAAAAAATTAAGTTCATTTTTATTACAATTAGGATTTTACAACATACTGAGGGTGTTTTCGTTTTTCCTTAGACATCACATGAAAATTTTACTTTAGCAATTTATTGGTTTTTTTGAGGCGGGAGGTAGGGTTGGGCCACATCCTTCTGTATTCAGGGTTCACCCCCGGTGGGTTTGGGGAACCATATGGAATGCCAGGGATTGAACCCAGGTTGGCTGCATGCAAGGCAAGCTTCCTGTCTGCTGTATTTTCTCTCTGGTCCCATGTTTGGGTGGGATTTTAACATTGTTGTCAAATTATTTCCAGGTGATAGGTTGGTTGCATGTTAGATTTTACTGAGTAACAAATTAATGGATATAGCATTTACTTGTATCAAAGCATTTGTTTTCACTTCTGAACTTTCTTAAAAGTCTCTTTGCAGTGTGGGAAATAAATGACACTGAATTCTCTTCCCCCCTCCCCTTTTTTTTAAGACTTTCAGCTGAACTCTCATCTCTCAACACTGGCAAATATTCATAAGATCTATCACACCCTTAATAAGCTAGTAAGTCAATCCTTTAAAGACAAAATTACCAACTGTTTAAAGTAGTTGCTTTAGTATATTTGGTAACAATTTCGATTATAAATATTAAGATACAGTTTGTGACTATTGAAATTTTAGCTTGCTATAGATACACTATTTCTTGGTAATAATGAACATATTTCTTGCAGAATCTAACAGAAGACATTGGCCAAGACGATCACCAAACAGGTATCTATATATGCTAACAATTTTCATTTTAAGTAAACATCCTAATATAAACATAGAAGACAAGTACTTACTAGTTGAAAATGCTCCTTGCTTTGTCTCTTAGGGAGTTGCTACTGGGTGGAAGCTGTTTTTCAGGATGTAGGAAGGCAGATGTGGTATAGCTCCTTTTCTGCTAGGAAAGTTGCTCGGCGTCCTGGTTTATGACCTGTACTTCATTCCTTTAAAGGGGTCAAATTCTCCCTTGTGCTTTCTCAGCACTACTTCTTATGGAAGAACTCAAGATATTGTGGTCATGCTCAAGATAATGTGGTCATGCAGTTTGAAAGGTCCCAATAAAGCTTATTGCTCATCGTGGAGAGGGAAAATTTCTAAGGGTGTGCGTGTGTGTGTGTGTGTGTGTGTGTGTGTGTGTGTTGAGGATTTCTGAATGAGAAAATTGAACATGATCCTTGAATGACTCTCCCCTGTGGCATTGACATTAGTGGAAGCTTACAATCATGGAGGGAGGGTTTGTTAGTACACATTGCTAAGGTTAACTCCCGAGTTCCTGGTTTCATAGATTAGGGGTGGGATCCCAGATTTTGCATTTCTTACCAGCTCCCAGTTGACACTGAGGCTGAGGCCACTGATCTGGAACCCACAGTTGGAGAAGCATACTGGTAACTGTAGAAAATTCAGAAATTTGCATTTGATCTCTGTTCCTGAAACTTCCAGCGGAGGGTACATATTTAAAGATCTTGAAAATCTCTTTCAGGAGTTAAATAGTTTAAGTTTTATAAAATACGCTTTAAAACAGTTACCAGAGAAGTGTACCTAAATGCTTACTTGCTGGTGAATCACAAAAGTCGTTGAAGGGAAAAGTGAGTTTTCCTCATGCCTCCCAATTCAGCAGCTTTCCTCCCAGGACATGGTTGAATGTTTGTTCTGTTAGGCAGTTACACACAATCCTGTGGTAGGGCTTGGTTGGTTTTGGATTGGGGCTACTCCTGGTGCCATGCTAGGGGAGACCAGGACCATGTGGGGCTGGAGGTGGAACTGAGGACTCCCGCATGCAAAGTATGTAGGCCAGCCCGTTGCTCCATCTCTTCTCCAGTCTTTTGTGCCATTTCCCTGACCGGCACACATGTTTTTATAGTAGCTTTTCAAATTCAGGGTTGATTGAGATCACTCTGTTCAGCATCTGTCTTTTTTTTCTTATTAATGGTCTGTATTTAAGGTTGGGATTCAGAACTCATCCTACTGTATCCTCCAATTTGGTTCAGAACCAGTGGGAATTAGAACCAAAGAGATTAAAGATCCAGAGAAATAGTATAGCGGACTAGGGTCTGGTCTTGTATGCAGCTGACCCAGGTTTGGTTCTTGGTACCACATACAGTCCCCTGAGTACCACCAAGAGTGGTCCCTGAGCATAGAGCCAGGCGTAAGCCCTGACCACAGCTGGGTGTGGCCCCAAGGTAAGAAAAAAATGTTAAGAGGAATGCTTTTATTGAAAATCACAATTTGGATGTGCAGCAGGGATGCATGAACCTTCTGGTATTTCACCTGTGAGAAATACCCTTACACACAGCCATTGCCACAGCTAGATAATCAGGGGCCAGCACCACCACTGCCATTGCACTTGGTTCCTGGCTGGTGACAGTGGAAGAGTGTGAATCTGGTAAAAGGCCTGGCTAGGGAGATCGTTCTGATCTGTCCTTGTCAAGAAATACAGATCAATTCAAAGGCAGTCAAAACTGCTAACTGTAGAGCTGCCACCTTGTAAACAGTGGCACAGCTTCACAGCTAATTTCGGAAGGCAGGCAAGCCAAGCTGATGACACACGGGTATGGTCACGGGGCTCAAACCTCTGGGGTGCCCTCGGGAGGGGGGACAGATTCCTGCTCTCCGCTCCCATGCCCCACAGGGGCTGTCATGCCCTCCGCCCAGCTCCACTGCTTTTAAAAACTCATCTGCAGAGACACCGAGCTAGTGAAACCCCCAGTTCCATAGATCCTGGAGCCCCCGAGTCAGTATTGTATCGGTATTGTGGCATTTGGAATGACACCTTCATTTCCCGCAATACTGACAGCCCAGTAGGGGCACAGCTGATTAGACAGGAAAGTAGCATAGAAGCCCACTAAGCTCAGGAAGCAAAAACCAGTAGCACAGAAGGCACAGCCGGCAGCAGACAGCTCAGGAAATCCTCAGGCCGCTTTAGTCACCGCGTTGTGGGATAGAACAACTTCCACAAACTTCTTTTACTGAACTCTTTTTTTGGTAATTCCACTTAAACCATGTTGTTGTGTCAAGCAATATAAATTATTTTTGTGTTCGCCAAGAGGTCAGATTGGGGGGTGGGTGGGAAATGGGACAGTGGTAGAGGGAAGGTCACACTGGTGGCAAGATTGGTTTTGGAATGTCGAATGCTTGAAAAAATTGTATTATGAACAACTTTGTGAACCACAGTGTTTAAAAAAAATTTTTTTTAAGTCATTAACTATAAAGTGATTGTACCTGCATGGTTTTGAAAGAAGCACTGATAAGTTATAAACAAAAAGTAAAGATTTCTCTCCCTTTTTTTATGTGTTAATTTATTTTACTGTGCTGGGGATTGCTTGTCCCATTTTAGGTTCCCTTAGCTCCATTTCCCACAAATATTTCGTATCTTGCACTACAAGGATAAATTATAGTCATACTTCTTTCAGACAAGGATGATAGTACATTTTCCTCCAAAATAGGAGAAAATTAAAATTCAGTAAATGTTAAAAGGCAAAAAAAAAGAATTATATACCCCCAAAATAAGTAGCACTGTAGCACTGTCCTCCTGTTCATCAATTTGCTCGAGCGGGCACCAGTAACGTCTTCATTGTGAGACTTGTTGGTACTGTTTTTGGCATATTGAATACGCCACGGGGAGCTTGCCAGGCTCTGCCGTGTGGGCGGGATACTCCCGGTACTAGGCTCTCCAAGAGGGATGGAAGATTCGAACCCAGGTCGGCCGCATGCAAGGCAAAACGCCCTACCCGCTGTGCTATCATTCCAGCGATATATCTCCAAAATAAGAAAGATAATACTAGCACCCAGTATTAAAAAGGGAGGAATTTTTTTTTCTCTTAATAGGATAAAACTTGCTCATTTAGTCATTAATTGTTTCTCAAGTCAGTAGTATAATGTTCTCGAAGTAAACAAAATATTAAATACTGGTAAGGGGTCTTAAAATGCAATTTATATCAACTTGAATTATGTATGTTGTGACACTGCTGAGTGAATACATTAAAATGGCAGAATAAATCAGGTAAAATCTGATTAGGAAACGAGGCTATAAAAAAATGCACAAAATGAAAACCCAAGAAAATTAAAAACAACATAGTGAGGCTTTTGTATGGGAACGTGTTGGTACTAAGTTTGGAAAAGCCAAAAATTCTTTCATTTTAGAGATGTTACTTGTGATGACTAGCAATCACACCCAGAGTTTAATATCTTATAGGTAGTGAATCCTATGCAGGACTTTTGAGGTCCACAAAATAGAGGACCTCACTAAAAGCAGTGGGGGGAAAAATGTAAAAAGAAGGCAGTGAAGTACCTTCAAGGATATCGTTTATTGAGAATAACTTGCTTAAACTTTCATCAAAACAGCAGGCTAGACATTAGCCTTCGGTCTTGGCCCCAGGTTTGCTTTTTAAAATTTATCTTCTAGGTCTAAAGAATAGAATAATGAAAACTTTCATATAAAAATTGGGGCAGTATTTCTAATTGTTTAGTGTGGAGAAAATGGCCATATTCATTTATTTAAAATATGGTCAACGGATAGAATATCTGATTTGCTTTTTTTTCTTCCTTCTGGCTTCCTCCTGCCCCTGCGCTCAGGGGTCACTCCTGGCAGGGTGGGGGTGTTGTGGGGCCCATACTTTGTGCAGGGGATTAAAGCCATTCAGCTATGTGCAAGGCAAGCGCCATACTCTGGCCCTGTTTGTTTGTTTATTTATTTATTTTGCTTTTCATTTGGGTCACACCTGGTGATGCCCAGCGGTTACTCCTGGCTCTACAGTCAGGAATTACCCGTGGCGGTGCTCAGGGGACCATATGGGATGCTGGAAATTGAACCTGGGTCATCCGCGTGCAAGGCAAACGCCCTACCCACTGTTATATTGCTCCAGCCCCTCTGGCCCTGTTTCACAAATCACAAATTTGCATCCTCCACCCAGATCCTCCAAATTCCAGTAGGCGGGGGTCACACCCACCAACTGGCCCCCTGGCGCCATGTAATCCCATCAACGGCCAAGACTCAGAGACTATAAAAACCAGCTCCCGGAACCGTGTGGCCGCAAATGCGGCCACGCGACATCTTACTGTAACATCTTATTATCTCATTCCTACTTTGGACAAACTGGCAGGCTACCGAATGTAGCCTGCCCACACGGCAGAGTCTGGCAAACTCCCCGTGGCGTACCCAATATGCCAAATACCAGTAACAATGCTGGGTCTCATTCTCCTAAAGAGCCTTGAATATAATCTCAGGGCTAGGATGAAGGAGACGTTACTGGGGCCTGCTCGAGGCAATCGGCCCTGTTTAATTTGCACTTAACACAGAACCAAAAGGAAATGAATCTGAACTCAAGTAATAATTTTTGGGTGAAAAAAACGTAAGCAGTTTGTGTTGTTCTCCTGCCCTAAGCAGCGTGGGCCGGCAGCTTGCTCTTGGTCTACTGTACAAGTGCTCAGGCTGGAGCGCAGACTGTCCGATCACATGGACTCGCGGCGGGGTTTCTAGCCGAGATTATCCTCCTCTTCTTACCACAGAACACTTCTTCCTCTTTCATATGTACTTGCCAAACATTTCTAATGAGGCTTACGATGGATCCCTGAATTCATTCATCGTGACTTTCTCTTGGTTTATCGTCAAGGAATAAAAACTTTCAGCTCCTCAATAATTTTGGATGAATTTCTGGGTTTCTTAGAATTTCTTAGGACTTTATTTTTCTTTTTATTTGTTAATAGGTCCTTCTTGATCTGGGAACTTTGAAGTGTACCCTGCAGACCAGTTTTCTGGAACCATGTAGAAACACTTCTCAGATTTCAAACAGATCTCTGTCCATGCTTTGCAACATCAGTCTTAATCTTTTGCTTCCACCTATTCGGTTTGTTTTGAACCTAAGTAGTTACTTTAGGGAGGTTGTTTTGTGTGGGGGTCTAACCCTGGCTGTGCGGGGGGAGCTGGTCCCGTTTCAGTGCTTGGGACCGTGTGGTGCTGGGGATTGAGCTGGGGGTGCTGGGTGCAGAGCATATCCTCCAGCCATTGAGCTAGCTTCTGGGCCCCCAAGTAAAGACTCCTTTTACAGAAATTTCAGACAGGTGAAAGGAGATAAAGGGATACCGGACTGAGTTAGTAAACCCTGACTCTAAGTCTTAATATTTCATTTCATTTTTTCATTTCATCATTCTGTTATTCGTCGATTACCTCGAGCAGGCCCCAGTAACGTCTCCTTCATCCTAGCCCTGAGATTATATTCAAGGCTCTTTAGGAGAATGAGACCCATCATTGTTACTGGTATTTGCATATTGGGTACGCCACGGGGAGTTTGCCAGACTCTGCTCTGTGGGCAGGCTACATTCTATAGTCTTAATATGAATTAATATGAATTTGTAAAACATTCTTTTACTATGTAATTACTTTTATCACAAAAAGACGTAACAGCTGGGGTAGGGAGCTGAAAGGGTTGGCAGAATGTTTGACCCACAGAAGCCTGGGTTTGATCCCAAGATCTTCATGATCGTCAGGTATTGCTGGATATAACCAAAAAAAACCAAAAACTGTTAACAGTAAACATCAAAATTCTAAGAAGCATTCTTAGATAATTGTGTGGAAGATTTTTTTTTTTTTTTAAATTTTGGGACACACATAGTAGTGCTCAGGGCTTAACTCCTGATTCAGTGCCAAGGGGTCACTCCTGACAGTGCTTGGGGGATGATATGTCATGCTGGGAACCCAGGTTGGCTGCATGCAGGGCAAATGCCCGATCTGCTATATTTCTCCAGCCCCAGAGATTTTTTTTTTTATAAATGTTAGCTATTATTATTCATGATTGGGTTTCAGTTGTATAATGTTCAGTACATATCTCTTCACCATTTCCCACTACCATTGTCCCCCTGTTTTCTTCTGCCCCACCCCTCCCAGGGCAGGCCCTTTTGTTCTCTTTTCCCTCTTCCCTCCCCTCCCTCTCTCCCCTCCCCCAACCCCCTCCCTCTTCAGAGTTTTTTTTTCTTCCTTTCTGCCTTTTGGGTCACACCCAGTGATGCGCAGGGGTTATTCCTGCCTTTGCACTCAGGAATTACTCCTGGCGGTGCTCGGGGGACCATATGGGATGCTGGGAATCGAACCTAGATCGGCTGCGTGCAAGGCAAACACCCTACCCGCTGTGCTATTGCTCCAGCCCCCCCCCCTTTTTTTTTTAAGTCTAGTATTGGTTTTGCTGACTGATGCAAAGGAAAAAAAAAATCTGGGATGGTGTATTATCTAGTCACATGTGCTTTAAATCTCCGGAAATGTACTTTTATTTATTTTAAAGCAGAATTTGATTTACATGTGTTTTAGGAACGTGACGAAAACTTGATGAGTTGGTCAAACTCAATTTAGGGTGAATCTGGTCACTCTGGAAGATGCTGTATTAGCTGCTGTGTCTGCACTGGTGACCCACCTGGGTCCTGAACAGCAAGGTGTGCGTTCATCTGAGCACTTGACCCTTGCTCAGGGAGGGTTTCTGGAGTCTAGGGAGAGCAGGAGAGCAGGTTTGGGCCAGATTTGAGGGATATGGCTTGCTCTGATTTTTTTTTTTTTTTGGACTCATTGGCTAGTTACACTTCAGATTTGTTTGTTTTCCTTGGCATTCAAAAATTGCTTGGGGGCGGGGGTAGGCAGAGAGATACAGTACAGAGATTTAGGCACCTTGTACATGGCTCGCCAGGGTTTGATCCCTGACACCACAGAAGCCCCTCAAACAGAAGTAAGCCCTGATGAGCACAGCTGGGTGTCGGTCAAATCAAAAGCAATTTATTCTTTATGTAGCCTGAAACTTTTTTCGCTTTTTGCCACAGGGTTCTGTGAGCAGTGCTGTGCCTTGTATGTAGTTCTTTGTCATTTCACTGGGATGTGAACTTCACTCAGCCTTCCTGAGGGGGTGCGGGGCGCAGGAGTTACGAGCAGGACCAGGGTTATTGTGGAAATAAAGGCTGACACACCTCTGGTGGCACCGGGGCTAAGAGGAGTAGCCTAATGAGCTCATGGCTGCCTTGCACTGGTGGGGTTTGCGTCCCAGCTGGGCTGCTTTCCTAACCCCTCTGTGTCCATTTTCTCTTCTGCATAGGCAGTTTTGATGGTTCTTCTCTCCAAAGCTGCATGTGAGGAAGGTGAAGTGTGATTTCATGCAGATGTTAGAGGCAAGGTCCTCTCACAATGAGGTCTTGTGTGTTCCGTTTTGTCTTTACCTTATTACCAGAGAAATCTCTTTTTTTAAAAAAAACAAAACAAAACAAAACAAAGGCGGCTTCTGAATACACTGAAAGTGGCAGAATCCTGGAGCGGCAGAAATAAAGTAAAACACTGGGAAGTTTTGCTTAAGATCAGGTCACAATTCTACCTCCCAAATCCCATCGTCCCTCTGTCCCTGTGTTGTGTCAGTCAGCTCCCCCCCTGCAGTTTAAGAATGATAGGACTGACATGCTCGATGAGTCTGCGACTCTGGGTTGCTGGCTGTGCCCGCCTTGCCTAATGAAGCCAGAGATGGGACAGCTGCACCGTCCCGCTGGGAGGCGCGGTGACGTGCTAGAGAAGCCTGGCCGCCTAGATGCTCAGTGTCAGTATCCCTGTCGAGTAAGTTGACGTTGTAATGACTTTCTATCCCTGGCGTGGTCTGGCGGGGGAGTGGCAGAACAATGAACGTGTCCCTGTCCAGGTTTTATCTCTTGACTCGAACATTTTCTCAGAGCACTGAAACCCACTCCCCACTCCCCCACGAGCATCTGTAGGCAGTGTCTCAGCAGTGCCCGGGCTGCCTCCAGGTCCGTGGCCGCGTGCTGCGCTGTTCGTGCTCAGTCGAGGCAGGCCTTAACTGTGTGCCCCGGGACTCTTCTCTCTGCAGGAAGCGTGCGGTCTTGCACCTCTTCAGACCGCTTTAGTAAAGTGATGCCGCCGCGGAAAAAGAGAAGACCTGCCTCTGGAGATGATTTATCTGCCAAGAAAAGTAGACATGATAGGTACGTTGCCAAGACAGTAGGTGGGTGTGGATCATGCCGCGGAGGTTGTTGTGTCTACCTTCTGTGCTGCGCCTGTGCAGCTGGCTGCCCACGTGGGCACTGGTTGGGGCCCTGCCAGGTGACCTTTCCCTGGGCCAGCGCTGCCTCTTGGGCACCGCTTCCTCCGACTGAGGTGTGGGGGTGCTGCCAAGAAACAAGGTGGTTTGAGTCCTGAGGCACTTTTTATAATTCAGTCCAGCGATTGGTCTGTATTTGCTCTTTAAGGGGGTCTCGATCACCGAGTGCACCTTGGAATTCTGTGCAGAGCAGAATGCTGGGCTGGAGAGGGGCGGCCCAGGGGGGATGTGCTCAGCCCCCTCATCCCCCCCACACACACCTGCCCGTAGATGTGCTGCGTGAGGCTCATTCTCAGAAGAGTGAGAACGCGCTAGAAGCTGTGAAAAACAAGACTTCAAACAACTTCTCTTTCAGACACGAGAACAGTTAATTTTGGTAGATCCAAAGAACTGTTAGACTTGAGTGTCTAAGGTGTCTTTATTGTTTCTCCCTGATTTTAATGCAAGTTTCCTCCTGTAAACATTGCTTTCCCATCTTCCTGTGTTCTGGTTCTGTAGGTGATTTCCCTAATGGGCCCCAATTTCCCTACTGAGAAATCAGGGGGATTATATGAGATGACATGATCTTTTTAGTGCTGGTGGTTGTTGTTGTGAAACTTTATACGCTTTAACTCACAGGGATTGAGGAGGACTTTCAGTATATCAAATAGGGTCACTGTTTAGGTCCCGAATGAATAGAAAAACACCTAAAAGGAGATGGCATTTCTAATCACCAGCAGTGTTTAGAGGACTGATTTTTCAGATTAATGAAGCCTGTTCCCTTGACCTTTTAAAAAGGAATGTAGATACCATTTTTAGAGAATTGCTAAATTCTAACAACCATTGCATTTTGTAACTATAGTTCTTACTATATACACCACAGTCTAATATGATTTTGTATGATATAGTTTTGTATGATATAGGTAGTTGAAAAACTGGGTAGTTGAGTTGTGGAAGGGAGGGAAGACATAATCAGGGCTCAGGGGTCTAGTGCTAGTTTGCTTGCTTGCTTTTGTGTGTGCAGTGCTGCAGATTGAACCCAGATCCTGTACATGCAAAGCAGGCTCTGTGCCACTGAGCCATATCCTGGCCCCATAAACTTTTTTTTTTTTTTTGCTTTATGGGTCACACCCGGTGATACACAGGGGTTACTCCTGGCTCTGCACTCAGGAGTTACTCCTGGCGGTGCTCAGGGGACCGTATGGGATGCTGGGAATCGAACCCAGGCCGGCCGCGTGCAAGGCAAATGCCCTACCTGCTGTTCTATCTCCAGCCCCAATTTTTTTAAAAAAAAAAATCAGCTTTTACATATTTTAATGTGTGCAATGTTAAGTGTATAATTCAGTGTCACATAAATAGTTCTATGGTATTTCATTGTCCTCTTTTGGGTGATGGAGGGGCTTCTCCAAGCGATGCTCAGGAACCCAGTGCCCCCCCCGCCTCTCCAAGGTTCTCTGCCTGGCTAGTAGTTTAATGTGAGGGCCAGGATTTGCTGCTGCTTGGGCCCTGTGGTGCTGTGGAGTACCCAGTTACCCCAAAAGTCTTCTTGGGGGTCTCCAGGGTTGTACCTGGCACATGCTTGGGGACTTTGTGATGGAACAGGGTTGGCTGCACATAAGGCAAGAGCCTTAAACCCTGTACTATCCCCTGACTCCTCCATTCTTTTTCCATCTTGAGGTTTTTATACGGATTTGGTTTGGTTTGCTTTGGTACCACTCCTTGCAGTGCTCGGGGGCTATTACTGGCTTAGCACTTTGGAGTCACCCCCAGTCGGTGCCCGGGATCAGGCCAGGGTTGGCAAAAGCAGCCACCTGAGAGGCAAGCGCCTTAACTTCTATACTATCCAGCTCTGTGTAGATTATTTTTAAGCAGTTCAAATTTGACAGTGTCTGTATAGATCTCCAGATTATCCATTAATGATAGAGCATGAGTTGAAATAAGAATTTCTAGATGCAGGACCAGAAAGCAGTTCCCTGTAAACCCTCAGCCAGTATCCACCTTCATTGAGTGTACCACCGTAGGTGGGTTGGCTAGAGAAGTACAAAACGCGACATTGAATCTCAGTAGATTAGCATTGATAATCATGTTCTGGGGGGTGGTATTAAAGCACAGAATCTTTTAATCAAAGATAGATAGCAGTATTCTGCTAAGTGGGAAGGTCCTGTAAGAACACTCCTTCAAAATTGCTATTGTTACTTTTTTTTTTTTTTTTTTTTTTTTGCTTTTTGCTTTTTGGGTCACACCCGGCAATGCACAGGGGTTATTCCTGGCTCATGTACTCAGGAAGTAGTCCTGGCGGTGCTCGGGGGACCATATGGGATGCTGGGAATCAAACCTGGGTCGGCTGCGTGCAAGGCAAACACCCTACCAGCTGTGCTATCCCTACAGCCCCAGCTATTGTTACTTTTACATACAATATATGTAAATAAGTTGCTCTTATGAACAGTTGTATGTAACCATTTCTGTTCTTCCCCTGTAATGCACATGCTCCTAATTTTACATCCCAGCCTCTGTTCTAAACTGCCACTTGTCCTGAGTACGGAAGTGTCTTGGTACTTTCTTCCTGTGGTTGTCATAAACTAAGGAATCCAAGGAAGTGTTCAGCATTGCATGTTGAGGCCACAGAATGTCCTGATGACCACTCCTGCCTTGTCTGGGTGTCCACAGCACTGGGGAAGGCCAGGGGCCAGCATTTCTCTCCCCTTCCTTCACTCTCTCAGCTCTCAGGTTTTTTTTTTTTTTGCTTTTTGGGTCATACCAGGCGATGCTCAGGGGTCACTCCTGGCTTTGCACTCACTCCTGGTGGTGCTCAGAGGACCATAATGGATGCTGGGAATCGAACCTGGGTCGGCCACATGCAAGGCAAATGCCCTACCTGCTGTGCTATCACTCCAGCCCCCTCTCTCAGGTTTTTAAGGTTATCCCTTATGAAATTATCCAAGGAACTTTTTATTTCATCAGGCTTACACCTGTCTCTGTGTCTTTTAAAGACTTGGACATAATTTTTATTTAGTTTTCCCATGAGGTGTCTGATACTGACAACGTTCTTCACTAAACTTTTCTCTGCTCCCACAAAAGTCAGGAGCACTCACTGCAGCACCCTGAGGAAGTTCTTGGCTCCTCAGTGGAAGAAAAGCACTTTTAACATTTTCTTCTATATTCCACATATATTCTATGTTCTGTAGTTCTCACTGCTGAGGTAGAAGTAAGTTTATCGAATACATGTTCTGTTCATTAGTTTCTACTGAAAATTTACTAACCAGAGGGAAGAGAATTGTTTTAACTGCTTATTTAATTCTACCTTGTATGACATTATCATTGTCATAATACAGTCTGAAGCTTGGGGATGTCAGAAGTAAAGTGCTTGCCATATATTTGAAATAGTGATTTGAATAGAAGCTTGGTTTGGATCAGAGAATTAAAACAGTATGCTGCTTTAAAAAAAAACTCAGTATCTTTAAATTAAAACTACCTCCTTAATTTTCAGTATGTATAGAAAATATGATTCAACGAGGATTAAGACAGAAGAAGAAGCCTTTTCCAGTAAGAGGTGCTTGGAGTGGTTCTATGAATATGCAGGTAAAATTGATCCTTCTGAAAATGGAGGGGGGAGATTATGGAATTCTAAGGATACTGTACTTTGAAAGTGGTGTGTGTTGTATGTCCTCGTTTAAGGGAGGAATATAATTGAAACAAATCACCAAATGTCCTAGTTATAGCCACCAGCTAAGCCAAAGAATTCTGAACGCTAGAATGGAACTAAAAAGATGAAATGCACTTGAGAGAAATACTTTGCATTGCTTGGAAACCTGTTTAAAATGCTGGTAATGGTTATTATTTGGTTTATTTGTCAAGAGTTTAAAATATACCTTGCTGCCTGGTACCTTTAGGTCATGCGATAGAATTTCTTAGGCTAAATGTCATTTCATGAAAGATGTTTGGCCATTTAAACTTTCTTTAAATTCAGAATCATTTTTTGCAGCTTATTATAATTGTTTGGATAGTGTAGCACTGTAGCACTGTTCTCCAATTTTTCATCGATTTGCTCGAGTGGGCCCAGTAACATTGTGAGACTTGTCTTGAGTTCGATTCCTCGGCCCCTCTCAGAGATCCCGGCAAGCTACCGAGAGTATCTCGCCCACATGGCAAAGCCTGGCAAGCTACCGTTACGTATTCAATATGGATGGTGTAAAACTGAAATCTTGGGTTTGTTATTGTGGCTGAGAATAGTGTAAATAGACAACATTGTTCCGTATGGGTGTACACCCAAGGCTTGTCTTTAAACCTTCCCTCTTCTCCTCCGTTTCCTGGGCTCTCACTCCCTCTCGCCTGGGCTCTTTAGCAGCCGTCCTGCCAGCGGCCTCTGCTCCCAGCCGGCTTCCTGGGTCCCCTAGTAGCTTTGCTTGGTGAATAGTCTTTAGCTTTGTGGGGGCTGCATTTGGAGGTGCTGGGAAGCAAAATCAGCATGTCGACATGAAAAGCATCTGTGCCAAACCTTGGCGCTGTTCTTATTTTAAGAAATAAACTGAGGAGGGGCTGGAGCGATAGCACAGCAGGTAGGATGTTTGCCTTGCACGCAGCCGGCCTGGGTTCGATTCCCAGCATCCCATATGGTCCCCTGAGCACCGCCAGGAGGAATTCCTGAGTGCAGAGCCAGGAGTAACCCCTGAGCATCGCCGGGTATGACCCAAAGAGCAAACAACAACAACAACAACAACAAAAATAACAAGAAATGAACTGGCGAAAACCCAGTGTGATTCTTGAGCAGGCCGTCACCTGTGCCCACTGCTGTTCCGTGGTCTGTAGGCTTTCCCCTTCCTGTAGGCATTTCCCTAGCCTCCTCTCAAACTCTATAGAGCTGTCTTTGTACTCCAGGGCATTTTTTGTTGTTGTTGTTGTTGTTGCTTTTTGGGTCACATCCGGCGATGCTCAGGGGTTACTCCTGGCTTTGCACTCAGGAATCACTCCTGGCGGTGCTCGGGGGTGCTCCCTACCCGCTGTGCTATTGCTCCAGCCCCACCAGGGCATTTTTCATGATTAGTTTTCAAACTAATGGGTGTATTGGGTACCGAGATAAGCACCCTTCCTTGGCCTAGTTCCCCATTTTCCCTTCTATCTGCCCTGCCCTGTTCTGCGCCTCTTTTGATGGGAACCTTGTACCTTTGGCTGCAGAGATTGTTTGCCAGCGCGCGCAGATAACTTGGGTCCGACCAGTCAGATAAAAATGTCGGGTTCTCTGGTTGAAGTGAGGACAGTATCTTTCTTGCCATGGGCTTGAAGGCTTTGATCCTGATCCCTGGAGTTCTTGGGGGTGTCTGAGCCATTTAATATCTTTCTAGTGATGTCTTCATTGCTCAAACTAGGTTTGGTTTGCATGCCATGAGTACAAGCAGCTATTTATAGTATTCTAGTCCGTCTCTTTTCATGTTTAGACCATGAGAACATGAATTTTTGGAAACTTTTTTGGTGTTTTCGCAGGTTGTTCAGTACATGGATGCTGAATGAAGAATTTTGTCATATTTATCAGTTTAATTATGTATCTTTTGCTTTCACGGAACATATTCCTTATGAAAATGTGTTATGAAATGGAAAGAGTGGGGCTGGGGAAGTGGGGTGGGCTCTTGCCTTGCATGTGGTTGACCTGGCTTCAATCCCTGCATCCCGTATCGTCCACCAAGCTCCAACAGAAGTGATTCCTGAGCACAGTGCCAGTAGTTAACCCTGAGCATCTTCAGGTATGGCCCCCCAAAAACAAAAAAACAAAATGTCTTGAAAGAGGAAAATATGCTTAATCCCACCAACGGAACTGTTGATCTTGATCTTGTGTTTGTGTCTTTTACATGGAAATAGGGAATTTTTCCATAGTGTAAGCTACAGTTTTGTTTTTAAAATGAACATGACCCTCAAAGGAAAGAGAGAGCAAAAGGGAATGCCCTGCCATAGAGGTGGGGCGGGGTGGGGGGGAATGGGGGGGCGGGGGGAGGGCTACTGGGTTCATTGGTGGTGGAGAATGGGCACTGGTAGAGGGATGGTACTCGATCATTGTATAACCGAAACCCAAACATGAAAGTTTGTAAGTCTACAATTGTACCTCATGGTGTTTCACTAATAAAAAATAAAGTAAAATGAAAGTGACCTTTTTATGATTTGCTATTCTGAGGTGACATGGGATAAAGATGAAGCCACTTTTTTTTTTTTTCAGTTTCTGGGCCACACCTAGTGGTCCTCTGGGTTTGCTCCTAGCTCTGTGCTCAGGGGATCACTCAGTGCTCAATCCACAGTCATTCGCTTCCTTGAGATCCCTGCTGAGTGCTTCCTGCAGTGTGTCGCTGTCAGAAGTGTCTGTGGATGTGGCTGTCCTGGTCTTCACACATACCCCAATCCCTTTTCATGGTATTTGGTGTATTTTTACCAGTAAAAACAATGACTCAACCTCAGAATCATTAAGTCCCCCCAGTGAGTCCCTGCTTTCACTTTTAATATCCCAACCTTATCACGTGGCCAGTCACTGTAGGCCAGTTTTCAGGAAAGACCAAGGGTGAGGAGACACATGGTGACTAACGGCTGTGCACAGGAGGATTCGGGGATACAGGCAGACCCCCACCTCCTTTTAGTCACCAGAATAAAGAATTGTGTCTACCTTTCCTTGGAGAGAACCAGCTTTTAGACTGAAGATGGATACTGGCGCGTCTGCAGGCTAAGGGGGCGTGGGGGAGTGTGAGAAGGGGGCGCATGGGGACAGTAGGGCCTTGGGGGGGGGGGCTATTGTTTCTGGATGGAACTTAGTCCTTTCCAGAAGTCCTTGTTTCTCCATGGCACTGGGCACTCTGCTTTTCAGAGCTCCTGCTGGGGAGCTCCACCTCTTCTTCTCTGGAGCTAGGGATTTACAGTCCTTTTAGATGTTTAAAAATATTGATTCAAAGAAGTTTTATTAAATAATAAAGCTTTTACTTTAAGTTCAAAGGTGACTTTGCCTTTATTTATTTATTTTGCTTTTTGGGTTATACTCAGCAATATACAGGTATTACTCCTGGCACTGTACTCGGGAATTACTCCTGGCAATGTTCAGGGGATTATATGGGATGCTGGGAATCGAACTCTGGTTGGCCGTGTGCAAGGCAAACACTGTACCCGCTGTGCTATTGCTCCAGCATGTGTGTGTGTGTGTGTGTGTGTGTGTGTGTGTGTGTATGTATATTTTGACTGACTTTGACCATGAGTGTGGAAAGGTCGGACTGCAGCTGAATCTCATGAAGACAGTGTTCATGAGAAATGGACTCATTCCTGACGTTCCATTCACTCTCAATGGAACGAACATCTCCGAATGCAGCGGTTATGTGTATCTAGGTTGACAAGTCAACATGACAAACGACCTGGCACCTGAGCTGCACAGGAGGAAGAGAGCGGCGTGGAACACCTTCAAGAGCGTTGAGGAAATAGCTAAGAGGATGAAGAATCTCTGGCTCCGGGCACATCTCTTCGATTCCACTGTTCTTCCTGCATTAACATACACCTCAGAGACCTGAGCCCTATGAAAACAGGATGACAATGCTATTTGGGTCTCCCAAAGAGGAATCGAAAGAGCTGTGCGTGGAGTATCACACTTCACTCAAATGAGAGAAAGAATACGGAGTTCCGACCTCCGTCGACGATCAGGAATCAGGGACGCTGTCTCGTTTGCCAAGTAGCCAAAAATCAGATGGGCTGGACACGTATTGCGATTTGGAGATGACCGCTGGACTAGAGCCATTACTGACTGGATTCCACGGGACGTCTAAAGGTCGCGTGGCCTCCCACCTACGAGATGGTCAGACTTCTTCGTCAAGACCCTGAACAATCAGTTTGAGGCTCTTTGTGTTCCCTGGAGTGAACAGACGCCATTGGGCTACACTAGCACGGGACAGAGACGAATGGAGATGTTACTGGCGACCGCTTGAGCAAATCGATGAGTAACGGGATGTCAAGTGATATATATTGGTTTTTAGTCCATGTCTAGCTATGCTCGGGGTTCAACTTCTGGCTCTGAGCTCAGGGATTACTCCTGGTGGTGCCAGGGTTGGTTGCGTACCTGCCATACCTGCTGTACTATCTCTCTGGCCCAAAGAGAAAAAAGCCTTTTGGTTTGGGTTTTTATTGTTGTGGTTAAGGTCTCATGGTTACAGTAGTGTTTATTGTCACACCTGTGGTGCGTGTAATCACTGTCCCTCCACCACCTCCTGCCCCCCCCCCCCCAACCCCTACCATTTTGACACTATGGAAAGAGTGGGTGGATAGGAGTGTGTAAGACCTCCATTTGAAACCGGGGAATCCATTTCTTTTAGCCGAATGCAAAGAACCATTTTTTCAATCTGATAACTTCTACTCTCTGACCTACATCCAAGAATAAGGAATTAAGACAAATAGGTAACAGCGAGACGGAACTCAAGTCACACACCCTGAAGTCAAGCGCTCCAGATCCCGTCCCTCAGGATGTATTCTGGGTTAGATTCTGTAGCGGAGCTGGTTTCTGGTTTCAGCAGTCAGTTGCCGAGTGACCAGGTAAGCCGTTAGAGAAGGAAGTGAGGCTCCTCAGTGCCAGA